GGCTTATAGAGTTGTGTTCTGTAATACAGTGGGTGATTTTGTTACATATTACTGGCTTATAGAGTTGTGTTCTGTAATACAGTGGGTGATTTTGTTTTTGTACTACTGGTCTATAGAGTAGTGTTCTGTAGTAGAGTGGGTAATGTTGTTTTTGTAGTACTGGTCTATAGAGTGGTGTTCTGTAATACAGTGGGTAATTTTGTTTTTGTAGTTTTGGTCTATAGCGTAGTGTTCTGTAATACAGTGGGTAATTTTGTTTTTCTACTACTGGCCTAAAGAGTGGTAGAACTTTCTATTTATGGGACAGAGTCAGTTTGGAAAAGATTTACATGGTAATGCTACAAATCTCAAAGCATTTTTGTCTTGCATCTTTATAAGAAAAGTGTTTGCTCATTGATTGAACTGTGGTTTTAAATCTCAAGATGTGATATTAATTTAGCTGCATAGATAAGTAAAACTTCAGTCCCAGTCTTTTTGTTGATAGAAGAGACTCAGCAGGCTCAAGAACTTAAGAAATTGGAAAAGAAACGAGAAACCAAAAAGTCAAAACGGCAGAAAGGTTTGGGAAGGTTGAATTGGCTTATTTCAGTGTTTCTTCCTTCATTTAATTAATTTTATATGATATCCTTCTTTCTTTGTCTGACTTGGTTGTGGAAAGCAAGGGTACAGATATTTTTTATGTTTTTTTTAATTGTTTTTCCATCTGCAACTTCATTTTAGTAAACATTAATCTGTGTTCCTAATTTTAAAACAATAAGATGGCTTGGGATAAAAAGGGAAGTTCGAAGATAATATATATATATAAGAAACATAAGTTTTGGACAGACAGACCTGGATCTTTGGTTACTCAAAATATTGATAATATTTGGTTTAAATATTTTTACTCCTGGATGGGTGCATTGCCTTAAAGGGTCAGATTACACCACTGAATAAAAAAAAATTATAGAAAAAAAAAGCTGATCTTTTTTTACAGACATTAAGAGTTGAGATTTATTCCATAAGAAAGTTTAATGTATTTAATTTTGTATAAAAAAATTAGATTTTGGATTAATTTCAGCATGTTCCCAATGAAATCATTAGTGTTTGTAAATTTTTTCTGAGTATAATGTGGCGCACATTACCACTTAGTGTGGAAGTCATCATAGTTTGAAAAAAATAATGTTTTCTTGTAACTTGAATAAAAGTGAAGTTCTATTGAGTTTTTAGCCAATCACTATTTCCCAATCTTGGTTGTTATGGTGATATAAAATTACTTGTAACTCAGCTTCAAGAAGTCATAGGCTACTGACCTAAACATATTATTAAAGCTTTTTTTTCTGTTCTTTTTAAATGTAAAAAACAAAAAAAAGGGGGTTTCAGTTCAGCAGAGATTTGCCCGTAGATCAGAAGAAAGTGATAAAAGCTTAACTTTGTGATATTTTGTTAGAATATAAGGTGCTTGTGAACAACTAATACTAAATTACAGTCAAAGTTTGTAAAACCTTACTTTTTCATTTTATACTTTATTTTAATTATAATGATAAAATATGAATGTATGATACTTTGTTTTTGTGAAACAAGATGAGGTAGGCTTGTTAAATCAATATGTATTTGACTATATCAAGTTTTGTTTTACCGACAAGGCCATGGTGTTAGGTCTCGATTGCATTAGGCCGTACTGTCCTAAATAAATACATGAATGGAGAAAGTGACTGAATATAAAACTGGTTTAACGCGCATTACTTTTAGTGAATGATATCTTCTCGTTAACTTTCAAACATTATCTATGAAAATAAGTTATTTTATTTGTAGAAGATTTTAAATCTGTAGAAAGTAATTTCAAATTTCAACCAGTAGGTTTATTTCCCAATGTAATTTAATAAATCATACCAAAGCTGCATCTGATCGACGTTAATGAGCCTCATTGAGTTAATACTGTGTTCTTTTATAGTAGGCAAATATCTAATTATTCTATACACTATATTTCTCATGTATAAAATTTTGATATCTTCCTAAGTTCTAATTTTGGGATTTACTAAATCATGTTTCTTTTTTGTAGCTCGATAGATCAAGTTTCATGACATAGCTACATTTTGATATTTTGGGTGGGGGGGGGAGCATAGCTTTAAAACTTTTGTACGGTACTTCCATGTTCCGATGCCTGTTTTTGATTGGTCAGTTACAGAGAGCATGTGATTTAAGTTTAGTCACTTTTCAAAAAGATCCTGGTCTCCTCTGTTTCTTGCGAGAATCAAGTTTCATGTGTGTTTGTCTGTCACTTCTGATGGTTACCATCCCATAATCCATAAATACAGTCCATTTTATTTTCTAACTCTACCTCATTATGCAGTAGTCCACGTGAATGATCAACCATTATTT